ATATAAACATATATATATATATATATATATAGTACTATTGGACTTTATTTAGTCTATTTAAAAAAAATAATAATTTTTTACTCAATTTTTACTTTGCATGAATTTTAAAACTTAAAAATCAGCAAGCGGGTTGCCATCAGGTAAGTATATCCGCTTCTGGGTTTAGCGCTGCCGAGTGAAGTGCATCAGTGGAAGTCACTGCTTTACGTTTTTGCTCTGAAACCGACAGCGCATAGCCTAGATTTATGCATTCAGATCTTACACAGTATTACAATCAGTTGATCTAAAACGGTGATTGTGCATTAACAGCTCATGTTGGTATGCAAACGAGCGGTATGAACTTATTTAACCAGCAATTTTTTAATTTTTAATAAAATATGCACCACTTACATGCACCCATATATATATATATATATATATATATATATATACACACACATAATTTAATGTTGTAAGCACAGTCTCAGCTACCATAAAACATCCATATGAACACTGCTAGCACAGGCATTCAATTCAGTTAGCTCTGGTATTTCATAATTACTAAGACAGACCTCCAATGAACATAAAACATGCATGGTACATAGATTAATTTAAAATTTCAGACTGAGGAGGGCTTTATAATTTCATTCTGAGGCAACAATTACAGTAATTGTAGCAGCCAGTGGAAATGCTTAACATTCCTCAGCTACCACCGCTAATGCTAGTACTTTGTCACAGAAAATGCCTTCGCATGAATTACCTTTCCAAAGGCTCTTTTACTTAACAGGCAAGGCCAGGTAACAGCCATAATGGGATTTGAACACTCTTGAAACACTTTTGAAATCACATTATCACATTATGACAATTTAAATGTGTGTTGAGCAACACTGAGCTTTGACCCTGACAGCACATGCATGTTGTCTAAATGCGGATGTTTCTTATCTGGAATATGCCATTTTTCACTTGCTCATCTGCAATATAACAAAAACTTGCTTCCTTTTTTTTTCCAGAAATGACCTAAATTAATTGTTATTTAAATTAATGATCAGTTCAACAACCAATCTTTAAAGTTATTACCACAAAACATGTTGAAATCTTTAAATACCATGTGCATAGTTCATTGCCTCATAATAAACATTAACCACACAGTTTTTACAACATTTAAATACTTAAAAGACCTTTTTACTTTAAATCTTAAAGCTGAAGATAAAATTAATTACAAAAATACTTCCGGAAGCAAGCCCACTTAAAACAGCTTGAGCAAAATGACTGACTATGGCAGAAAAACTAAATAAAAGTGTGTACAGTCTCTGGGGTGGTCCGGTGTTTTACATTGAGCCCATTAGCTACTAGCAAAATCATTACTGTGATGAGGTAACAGAAGACGTATTGTGTGTTATCAGCAGAAACAGCTGCTCTGCATTCAGACTGAGATGCTTCATTAACCTGAACATGTCTCCTCCAGTCAGGGCCATAAATACAGCCCTATCTAACAACTGCAGTCTCAACCTTTGATTTATGATGCATAAATGTTATGCTAACCCATGCAAAACACTACTGCGATGCCACAGTGCTCTGGGTGTTGCTATGTGGTTGCTAGAGTGTACTGGTTTCTTACTACCCCATGTAAAAAAAAAACATTCCAACATGGCAGTAATGTTATGGAGAAGCACATACCCTCTGCTAAATGTAAATTATTTAACATAATTACTCATAACTGCCAATTTGACAAAAAGTGTTTAAAGAATAACATTTTTGAGGAGAAATATTGGTAATTGTCACTTTGCACTTCCAGTTTTGATTAGACTACATCATATCCAGTCAGGTGGTCACATATGGTCTAGAAAAAAATTCAAATATTTAAATGTATTTGAAGCTCATTTCAATTGGAACCAAAAATTCCACATACGCATATGATCGGAACTACATGTTCGCAAAATGAACAACTTCCTGTCTGTCATGTGTTGAAGATAGTGGAAACATGTCTTAAGCACAATAGTAATAGTAATGCTTGCCTTAGCAACTTCGCAAGCACACATTTTTTCGTTTATTTGTTTGCTCTAATGCTTATTTGTTTATTAACCGACTCTACTGTATTGCTGTCATTCATATGTAGCTTCTTTATGCAAATATGAAGTCATTCTTACACAAGCTAAAAGTACAAGCTAAAAAGGGAAGGAACACGCTAGAAAGGGAAGGAATAAATAAAGAGAAAGACAAAGGTTTTTTTTGCATAATGACTATTTTAGTCCTCACTGCAGGACGGGTCACAGCATGAAGCCATGGAGCTTTCCAATTTTTAAAAACAAATCAGAGAAACTTTTTGGCGATAAACACTTACAGTACCATTCAGAATTTTGTGGTCGGTAAGATTTTAAAGTCTCTTATACTTAGCCAGGCTGCATTTATTGATGAAAAATACAGTAAGAGTTTGTAATAATTCTAACCAAATTGTAATAAAATTGTGAAATATTATTACAATTCAACATAACTGTTTTCTACTGATATATTTTAAAATGTAATTTTTAAAAATCTCTTTAATGTTATTTTTGATCAATTTCGTGTGTCTTTGCTGAATAAAAGTATTATCTTAAAAATACAAATAAAAAAATACATAAGTAACGATAGCAAAATTAGTAACCATGTACTGTGCACTATGGGATTTAGTTTCATTTATTTGCACGAAGAGGAGGGTGGCGCTATATGTGCAAATGGATTTCATTCAGTTGATTCATTCAGTCTTTCAAAGTATTGATGAACCTATGAGATTAAGGTGGCAAGATGGATGAATAAATGTGTGTTGGGTGACTGCTGAATGGTTTTGGAGGGTAGATCCACACCCTCACTGCGGTGGCATTATCTGTCTGTAATCCCAGAGTCTACTGCTCCACCCAATCTACACAAAAGCCAATGTGAAGTAATCAATTGCTCTGGTTCTTTCTAAAGCCCTCCACACTTGCATATCAAAGCAGACAGCAGCAGGGTGGAAATGCGCCCCCTTGTCCTCCATTGAGGGTTAAGACCCTGTTTTGTGAGTGTTGAGCCTGGAGCCGTGTGTCTGTTGTCTTTCTTGAAATCCTGTGATCCGTGATGGGGGTTAGGGCAACTTAAAGCAAAAAGCGTTCCTCCTACCATCACTTTAAGTCTATGGAAATGTATCATTAGTAAAATACAATACAGAGAGATAGTCACGCTCTGATAGACTGGATTTTTCCCACATCCAGAATGTGCATTTTCCAGTTGCTTTCTGTGACTTTTTACATCATTTAGTCTATTTCTTTTGTAATCATTTCCTAAACTCAATTTTGTATTTTTAACTTTTAATTACAAACGAACAGTATGTTTCTCATGTGTAGCAACTGATGTAAAAATTCTTTGCATATTATTCATCACATTTTGAATATTTTTTTGTTTTTAAAAGAAGTCTTATGCATACCAACTAGTGGTCGACCGATACTGTTTTTTTGGCAGCCGATGCCGATGCCGATATCTTGGAAAGCAGGGTGGCCGATGGCCAATATAAAGCCGATATAATTTTATTTATTTTAATTTATATTCAAGAAATTTGAAATCATTTGAAAATGGATTAAAAATAATTGTGTAAAATAAACATACTTATAGACCTACTTTAGAAGACAAAGCATTTTTCACAAATAAATAAATATTTAATAAAAATCTAATTAAAAAGGAAGT